TCCCTAATCTGAATCTGCTCCCTAGTGATGAATCTTTGCTGGATTTGACCTTATTACTATTGGTTCTTGATAAATTCATTGACTTGAGCTAAAAACTCATCCTCATAAACATATTAACTCAGGATCAGATGCCTTTTCGTAGATTCAGATGCAAAAAAAGGAGCTGCATGCAAAATACATAGATTCGTGACATTAAAAAGTTAAATACTTTTTTTTTTTTAATTATTTTTTGGTTTCTGGTTTAAATGTCTAAATCTGATTTATGATGTCGACAATTTCTTCTGGTGGCTCTCTATCGCTTCAACAGCTACCTTTGTCATTTTTTTTGGTCGACTTGCTATCCTCATCATACTGTAGTTCATAGACATAAATATTGAAGATATTGATTGGTCTCCTAATTAAAAAGTTGTCAAAGACTCAAATTTAATAAAAAAGAAGAAATTGATAACCACAAGAAAGAAAGAGATGTGAGCTGCTGTCTTATCATCAAATCTCATTTGTATACCTAGTCGTATTCTCAACGCAATCGTTTTCCTAAGTTTCTTTCTTTAATTTTTCACATAATCTTTGTTCCTTTTGCTTCCCCTACTTTCCATTTATGGATCTTTTGTCCTGATAATATAGTTTGTTGATTTCAATTTTCTTTCAAATCTTGTGTGTGTACAGTTTCTTGATTCCTTTGTTTTCTTTGTCTTCTACAGAAACATGGGTGCAGGCGGACGAATGCAGGTTACTACTTCCTCCAGGAAGTCTGGTACCGAGGCCATTAAGCGTGTGCCGTGCGAGAAACCGCCGTTCACGCTCGGAGATCTCAAGAAAGCAATCCCACCTCATTGTTTCAAACGCTCAATCCCTCGCTCTTTCTCCTACCTTATCTGTGACATCATTATAGCTTCCTGCTTCTACTACGTCGCCACCAGTTACTTCTCCCTCCTCCCTCAGACTCTATCTTACTTGGCTTGGACTCTATATTGGGTCTGTCAAGGATGTGTCCTAACCGGAGTCTGGGTCATAGCTCACGAATGCGGCCATCACGCTTTCAGCGACTACCAATTGCTAGACGACATTGTCGGTCTTACCTTCCATTCGTTCCTCCTCGTCCCTTACTTCTCCTGGAAATACAGTCATCGCCGACACCATTCCAACACTGGATCACTCGAAAGAGACGAAGTGTTTGTCCCGAAACAGAAATCCGCCATCAAGTGGTACGGCAAATACCTCAACAACCCTCTGGGACGTACTGTGATGTTAATCGTCCAATTCACCCTTGGCTGGCCCTTGTACTTAGCCTTCAACGTCTCAGGCAGACCGTATGACGGATTCGCTTGCCATTTCCACCCAAACGCTCCCATCTACAATGACCGTGAACGCCTCCAGATATACATCTCCGATGCTGGTATTCTCGCAGTATGTTACGGTCTTTACTGTTACGCCGCTGCGCAAGGAATAGCCTCGATGTTCTGCGTCTATGGAGTACCGCTTCTGATAGTCAACGGGTTCCTCGTCTTGATCACGTACTTGCAGCACACTCATCCGTCGTTGCCTCACTACGATTCATCAGAGTGGGATTGGTTCAGGGGAGCTTTGGCTACCGTAGACAGAGACTATGGAATCCTGAACAAGGTCTTCCACAACATCACGGACACTCACGTGGCCCATCATCTGTTCTCGACAATGCCGCATTATCATGCAATGGAAGCTACAAAAGCGATAAAGCCGATACTCGGAGAGTATTACCAGTTTGATGGAACACCGGTCTTTAAGGCGATGTGGAGGGAAGCGAAGGAGTGTATCTATGTAGAACCAGACAGGGAAGGTGAGAAGAAAGGTGTGTTCTGGTACAACAATAAGTTATGAGGAAGACGATGATGATGGTGAAAGGAGAAACAGAACGAAGAAATCGTCGACCTCTCTCTTGTGTACTTGTCTTTGTTTAAGAAAGAAGCTCTGTTTTGTTTCAATAAACTTGTTGTCCATTTTGTTGTGTTATGACATTTTGGCTAATTATGTGATGTGGAAGTTAGTGTGTCAACATGTCTTGCGTCTGTATTGTTCTTCTCATCGCTGTTTTGTTGGGATCGTAGAAATGTGACTTTCGGACAACGAACTCTTGTACTAAAATATCTCACTGTCGGCACCGTTACTATTATGTGTCTAGTGAATCTTAATGTCGATCAATATGTCGTTTTCGAAGACCTATCCACTACCAAACCAAACTTTTTTGTTTGTGCCTGGTGTGTGTTGCGATCAAAGTGTTCAATCTACGTGAAGTGAACACATTAATTGTGCTATTCAATTCTGAAGTGAAGCAAGAACATATTTGTAACCATGTGGATGCATTAAAGAAATTCACCTAACCACGAAAGTATTGAACTAATCTAAACCATGTGGTTTGGCTTTGGTTCCTTCTTTTTAACAATTAGCTTTTGGTAAAGAGCTCTTTCCCTTTTAAGCCAAATTCATTACCTTACACAAAAAGAAAAACTCTGGTTTCATCTTTTCTTTTTATCAGATTTGAGTGGGATCAAAGGCAGATGAGAAAATAGAGAGACAGGTAGAAAAAGAAAAAAAAGCAATCTCTTTTTCCATTAATAGCATAAACACCAAAAGAGAAGTACAAGAAGAAAAAAATGTAGTGATGAAAATTTTGAAAAGAAAATAGAAAGCAAAAGAATATATTTGTAATAAACTAGATGAACAATAGCCTTTTACCAATACGGAAACAATCTTTCATTCAACGGTCACGCCTTTCTCGATTTAGCGGTAATCTAGAAGCATTTCCTGTGGACTATCGATGGTCCTGCTTCATCATACTCAGCCTTAGCTATCCACATCTGCAATACCAACCACATTGTGAATCACAAGTCAGCTTATAAATGGGTAACAAGAAAAAGAGCATAAAGAAACCCGAAAAAATCGAATGATGGTTTTTACCTGTTGGAAGGTACTTAGTGATGCTAGAATGGAGCCTCCAATCCAGACACTGTACTTCCTCTCAGGTGGAGCAACAACCTTAATCTTCATGCTGCTTGGAGCTAAAGCAGTGATTTCTTTGCTCATCCTATCAGCAATACCAGGGAACATAGTGGTTCCACCACTGAGCACAATGTTTCCATACAGATCTTTCCTGATATCGACATCACACTTCATTATCGAATTGTAAGTCGTTTCATGAATACCAGCAGCTTCCATTCCGACCAAAGACGGTTGGAATAGAACCTCAGGACAACGGAATCTCTCTCCTCCAATTGTGATCACTTGTCCATCAGGCAGCTCATAACTCTTCTCAACAGATGAGCTCGTGTTTGCTGTCTCCATCTCTTGCTCGTAGTCAAGAGCTATGTAAGCGAGTTTCTCTTTCACGTCCCTTACGATTTCACGCTCTGCTGAAGTAGTGAATGAGTAACCACGCTCGGTTAAGATCTTCATGAGGTAATCAGTAAGGTCACGTCCTGCAAGGTCAAGACGCAGAATGGCGTGTGGAAGCGCATATCCTTCATAGATTGGAACAGTGTGACTCACACCATCTCCAGAGTCCAACACAATACCTGACAAAAACACAACACAAAGGACATATGATTCCACATTCACTTGAAAGCCAAGACCAAGAAACAGAATTTCTCAAAATGTTCTTTTTTTTTTCCTCACAAGCTAAAGCTAGACAACTAACTAACCAATGGTGTTTGAAGATGTTCTTACCAGTTGTACGACCACTGGCGTAGAGGGAAAGAACAGCTTGAATAGCGACATACATAGCAGGAGTGTTGAAAGTTTCAAACATGATCTGAGTCATTTTCTCACGATTGGCTTTAGGGTTAAGAGGAGCTTCAGTAAGAAGAACAGGATGCTCTTCAGGTGCAACACGAAGCTCATTGTAGAAAGTGTGATGCCAAATCTTCTCCATATCATCCCAATTGCTAACAATACCATGCTCGATTGGATATTTCAATGTCAAAATACCTCTCTTTGATTGAGCTTCATCACCAACATAAGCATCTTTTTGTCCCATACCAACCATCACACCTGTGTGTCTTGGACGACCAACAATGCTTGGGAATACAGCTCTTGGTGCATCGTCTCCAGCAAATCCAGCCTATAACAAAATTTTCAGACAGTTCAAAAAGCTTTCAGGTTTATCATGTCCACACAATGGCACAATGGTAATAAAAAAAATATGGGTTTGTTGTTGTAGTTATTACCTTAACCATTCCTGTACCATTGTCACAGACAAGAGGCTGAATGTCTTCTCCGTCTGCCATTTTTTTCTAACCCTGTAAAAATTAAAAATGTCAGTTTTCGATTTTCAAAAACATCATTCACGAATCTTCCGAAATCGAAGAAGATTCTGGGAAGTTTTGTTACCTTGATTGATTAAAGATGTCTCTTTTGGAATCTCTTGTGGTTTTTGGGAG